ACAATTGTAGGAAAATTGTAGGTGCCACGTTCACAACATCACGACAACTGGTCTAGGGAGGCCCTACATCATATTCAACACCGTTAACCCTGAAAGCCACAAAACACCTAGACACCCTCAGTACAGTATTCAGACCGAACTTAAAGCACCTAAGCCCACATCCTTTAAAACCCATGTCAACCCATGTCAAAAACAGCCTACGTAAATAGTCCAAGTTCAAACGAAACCCTACACACCTAAGCCCAGGACTCGAAACCTTGGAAACCCTCCTAGCAGCCAAGCAACTCCGTTGGCCATCGCTACCTGGGATTAAGGGTTTAGAGTTTAGGGTTACGTAGATCGCAATCACTGTCAGTCTTTGCCTCCTCAAGGTTGCAATCACTGTCACATTTCCCCTCCTCGAGACAAACCCTAAACCCGAAGCCCTAAACAATCGAGGAGGAGGAGAGGGGGTTGGTTGCGTTTAGGCGTTGGGGCGAGGATTTTACAAGAAAGGGAAGGCCGGAAGATTCAGCGCTTGGAACTTTGGGTTTAAAGGTTTAAGATTTAGAATTCAGAGAAAGGAAGGTCTAAAGGTTTAGGATTTACGGTTGATGGCGTGGCCTCATGAGACCTTTGGAAACCAGTTGGTATCCTAGTGAAGATCGTGGTCCATAGCCCTTGGCAGCCCAACAGTCCAAATCCTCAATCCCCAAATGCGCGTGTCGAAGGTAGTGCCGTTAAACTTGAGGCCAAAAGAGAACATAACCAAATAGATAGATAGGGATATCCCATATACAGCCCTTTATAATCAACCCCTCCAGAAAATCGGGATATCCTCTCAAAACGAATACTATGGGGTTCCAGCTATCGAAAAGTCGGTTCCTGGGCTATGTAACTATAGGGTAGATAGAACACAGAAGCCATGATTCAGCTAGCTGGCGCCCTAGGGTTATGCTTATGTTAATTCTTTTGTATTCCAGCACACCACTCCAATTGTGCTTCCAGCCCCCCCCCTATCGTGGCCCCGAAGCTAGCCCGTACAACCCTACTACACCCTAGACCATCAGCCCTAAGCCCTGCATCTGAACTTTAATCTAAACTCCTTGAAGAGGGCTTTATAGGGGATTATAGAGGGGAGAATTTTAGGGCGTATAAAGGGGGATACTAGGACTCTCGGAGTCTAGACTATAGCTCATCTAGGAGTTTAGACTATAGCTCATCTGTCAATACCCAAAAGAGAGAAATGCTGAGCCTGCATCCTCAGACGTTCCTTGCATCAACTGCAACCCTCAAGGACACGCTTCCTTATACAAATCCAACACGGCCCTGTAGACGCGAAGATCCTCTTTACTGGGATGGTCTTTACTCTGCAGGAACATAAGTTAGGTTACCATATTCAGGAAGACAACTTATTCGCTATATGTACAATTTATTGTAACTTACTTTGAGTTCCTCAACAGCAGCGTAGTCTGTACCAATCTCAGCCAGGGGCGTCTGGGTGTTGTGGCGATCGCTGCGGGCAATGGTCCAATTTGTTATTGCTGAGCCCAATGGTCGGAAGCGAGGCGCGGCGGGAGAATTCGGGGTTTCTTCAAACTAGCGGGTATTTGTAAGTGCGGCAAATAGGTGTTTTTTTGGGGGTGTGGCCTGCTTGCAAGAGGCCATCGACTCGAAGCATTGTTGGGGTGGACGTTCTACCGATCGTTGCAGGTTCCCAACAGTAGTAGGGTAGCCCCTATACGACAAGACCCTAACACGCACAAACACTGGTGATCTTTCAGGCTTCATCTCTAAGCTTCGATGGTTAGGACTTTACGATCGCAGGCTCATTGCTTAGACTTGAGGCTGCAGGTTTGGGGTTCAGGATTGGTGGGAGGACTCAGAATCAGCCGCCACTAGCAGCCACTTTTCACTCGTTTGTGAGTTCTTGCATGCCATGCGCATAGCATACGCGCGGTGCGTAACTCTCCAAGTGCACCGAAACACGGTGAAGACATTTGAGGTCTAGAAGGCTTGCAGGTCATATTTGGGGTGGGTGTTTGATTTTATGAGGTCAGTCACACGGGCCGGCCGCTAACTTAGGATCGACCATGCAATCCCTCCCACCACATCTAAACGTCACCCAAAATATTTCTTTTATGGGGAATGTCTGGGGGAGTTCTACAGATTTGATATATACTATCCTACCCAAACCCGGTTAAAATCAGCCAAGCCAGGTGTTTGCATAGTGGGGCTTGGTCTACTTCATTCCAGTGGACATCTGAAAGCCAGTCCGCTCGCGCCGGCCTAAACCCCAAGAACAGAAGGAAACAGAACAAAGAAGCAACAAACTTACTGGGTTGCTGTTCAGGAGCTTCACTTGAGTTACCGTAACTTGATCTATGCTAAACGAATGTGGCTTCACGATAACCTTACCTGGCCCTCTGAACAGCAAGCCAGCTTAGAAGGGCTGGGCTACCAGCACAGGTTCATGCCTCAAGGTAGTCACAGATGTTCTCCGTGTCATAGGCAAGCCGAAAAGCACCCGGATCCACCTACGCCGGGGTTTTGGAAAAACTTCCAGAAACTTATGTGTGGTGGTTAGTAGGGAATACGGGAATATGATCCCTATATAATCCCCAAAAAATATTCCCTCATTCCGTACTAACCCCCAGTTGGTATGAGTTCTTTTTTGGCTAGAACTTCTAGCTAGAATCAATGAGTACATATAGGGAAATGATATTTTGAGAGTCATCTCAGGCCCGCATAGACTTCAGAATGTAAGAAGATGTTGCAGAGTTTAGGATGCTTCTGCGTCAGAGGTTCGGATGAAGAGTCCATGATTTGCCCGGTATACGGCAAGGTCAGGCAAGTCTATTGAAACTTATGATAACGTATGAGAATTGCGTGGCTTGAGGGTTGAGTCTCACACTTGGGGTTCACGGTGCGCGAGTGAACAGTTTGGGGGCTTGCGGCTTTGAATTGGAGAGTTGTTTGTAAAGTCCCAGACCTCCGCGTATGCAGTGGCTTGGTGCTTGTCAGGATGTCTTCAGGAGAATGCAATCACCTGTTCTCCGACCAGAGTAAAATTCTAGGGCCAGCATTGATAATGTTGGGCCTTAGTTTGTTCATGTATGGGCGTAAACAATCAGAGTAAAGGTCTCGGGTATTTATCTTATGCAGCAGGCAGTAGGTATATGGCAGTTTCCCAAAACTAGGGGACCCTAATATGGACCCCAAAATACTAGAATCCTTAATATGGGGACCCCCAAAAAGGTACCCCTAATTTTGGGAAACCTCCATATTGGAATAGTTTTTCATCGCGAATGGAGTTGAGAGGCGTGCACTCTATCCTACATGACACAAGCCCCTGTGTTCATCGGTGCCTGCTCCATGGGAGGAGTCAGGGAAACTTCCGTAGTATACCTACATAACCCATGGAAGTGAGATAATGACGGATTTCATAGTTTTGGTTTAGGCTTCTACTTTTTCATCCTCTGTAGGCAACAACAACAACACAACGTGTAGTCAAAGGGGAGTTTCTCAACACAGGGCGCGTGCGTCACAGGCCCGGAAAAAAGTGTGGGGATTACGGATCACGGGCTGGAGGACGGACTGTACAATATCATGGGTCGAAGTAGACAAATATCAACTACATGGAGCCCTAAAGTCTTTAGATATTAACTCACTTGGGCTATTTGAGTTAGGATGGTCAACAAGGGTTGATTCTTGGACTGCACCAGGCTGGGGTGTTTTGGATTTGGGGATGGCTCAGCAACGGCGCGCACTTAGCAACGCTGAAGGCTTTCGACAAAAAGATTTTGGAACTTTGCACGCAACAGTTGTCCGCAGAGACCGGGCTAAGCACCGTGAACACGCAGGAACTGTTGCAATCAGATCGCAGAATATGGAACGAGATCTCGAGCCTGCATGCAGAGGGATGGACCCTGGACGAAGCCTTGCGCGAGATGCATTCGCGCCGACGAGCAGGCACTTCTGCCGCCCCGGGTACGCCCGCCCATGCACAAGGAAGGCAAAGGTAAAGGCAAGCAAGGCAAAGGCAACGGCAAGAAGGTTGGGGAGTAGGGTTTCAAGTTGAAAAGGTATAGGGCCGCTGATCTGCTCATTACCAACCCTAAACCTTTAACATGGGACACCAACCGGCTGGAACGCGCAGATTTCTGCAGGTGTCTTCTTCAAGACAGTCAGAACTCACTATGACATTAACATAAACCCCCGAACCCTAACCCCTAAACCCCCAAACCCTAAACCCTAAACCTGGGGACCCCAAATAACCTTCTAACTGCACATTCTGGGTCTGAAGAGACAGATGTGCTCACAGGAGGATCCTTGGTTGGTTACCTGCCCTGAAAAAAGGGCTGCCCACTCTGCGCACGGGGATATGGGTGGATTCTGTGCTCTTCCTAGAATGCTATCATAAGGCTCATTTGAGTGGCGCTTTTCGGTGGTTGAACCAAGTATGTTTCAACTTCCAGTGCTTGTGCAAAAGACCACAACCAATAGGATGAACTCATCTTCTCGTCTAGGGTTCAGGGTTTAGAGGACTATAGTGCTCTGTAATAAACGACTGTTCATTTGTTCTGGTGGTAGCGCGCATGCTTTCTTGAATGAGGTCTGCAAGGCCTACTGCTTCCAAGGAAAGATGTGTTCTAACAAGGGTGCGAGTGTCATCTTGGACTGAAGGCAGCTGACTGTTAAAGCTGAAGTCGTTTTTGCCACCTGCCCTTCCTCACACGGAATTCCACATCAAACGTGGCGCGTCGAGTCTTCGCACAAGTCTTTAGGTTCTGGTTCACATTGGTGGCAAGTGCTGACAAAACCATTGCCCACCATTATTTCATTGCCTACGCACACTGAGGCCCTTTCAGGCATGTGGTGGTTGTTCAAAATACTTGTCCCCAAGATGGCCATAATGTAGGTTCCCTGTTTGCTTAGGATCCCCTTTCAAGGAAGTGCATTCCCAGTGGTCCCTTCTTTACAAAGACCTTTAGAACAACCCCCATGTCTTTTTTTCCTGCTCAAATCCGGCAGACAACTCCTGCTGCTGGGCAAAGGTCATCTCCCTGGCAGCAGCGGTGTGGATTCTGGGTTGCTGTTAAGGAA